TCGGTAGGTAATAAACTACTATATGATGCCCAACTTCGCTAGTTGAAGCCCTTTCGCTATGGGCAGCAGACGGTTTAATGGTTTATGCACATGTTTTATTTTTTATGCGCTCGGATGCGGCGGGAAGGGCTGGCGCTATTAGCTTGATATTTATAGATGCTAGTTTCATGCATAGTCTGGGGTGTTATAAACAAGAGATGGAACGACAGGAGACGTAATTAGGAGAGGATACAGGAAGGCAGGTTCCCTCGCCGGGGAAGCTCGCGGGTGCAGCAGGGTACACATGCAGGATGTGGCCATGGTATAGCCACGGAAGATAGGTTGGTAGCAGATAGGTTGGTAGCCAGATAGGTTGGTAGCCAGATAGGTTGGTAGCCAGATAGGTTGGTAGCCAGATAGGTGTTATGTCGGGCGGTCTTCAGCAAGAACAGGCGTCGTTGCTCACTGGCTTGGTCGGGTTGATGCTGACATCAATCACTATACACCGTTAGCATGGTACACAGACGCAGGTATGTCCGTATGAAGTGAATGGCATACTCTGGTTGTCGCTGTTGGTGGCCTCTCCCTCCATCCCCGGCAGCGCCTGAGCTATCTTCTTAAAGAGGTTCTTCACGTTATGCCCCAGCTTAGCACTGGTCTCGATGAACATCAGCCCGTTCTTCTTCGCCTCTTCCTCCCCTTGCTCCGTCGTCACCTCCCGCTTGTCGTTCAGGTCCGTCTTGTTGCCGACGAGTGCTATGATGACGTCGTTCCCCCGCTCGTCACGCACGTCGTCTACCCATTTCCGTGTGTTCTGGAAGGACTTTGCGTTTGAGATGTCGTACACGACCACCGCAACGTTGGAGTTTTGGATGTAAGACGGTATCAGGGACCGAAACCGTTCTTGGCCGGCGGTGTCCCAGAGCTGGAGGCGGACCGTTCTATCTTCTAGGTACATCGTCTGCACCTCGTCAGCCTTCTCTCTCTCCCCTTTTCAACCGTATACCAGGCAGCAGAATATCGCACCTTGGACAGGAAATCAATGCCTATAGTTGCTTGGTACGTGTTGTCGAATGAATCATACATGAACCTCGTAATCAACGACGTCTTTCCAACTGCATCGCCGTCAGTCTTACGAGTATATCAACTTCACCCTCACCGACATACCGCTCTGTTCGCCGAGAAAGACCAGCCTACGTCCCGTCAGCGCTCATCCCAAGCAAACCAAAGCAGAGCAGGCACAGAACATACTTGAACTTCTTCAACGGGTTCGAATACGACCCTACCTGTGACTGAGATGCCATCTTCTTCGTCTAAAACCGTCTGTAATATTAAAAAGGGGGGGTTCGATAATATATAAACAGCAAGGAAAAAGCGTTCCGTCTATTCGTCACAGCGCAAGCAAGCAAACAGTCATGAACCTCGTAACCAGCTGCATCAAATAACTCCGTAGAAACCTATCAAAAAGCAGTCCTTCGAGGGGTTTCAAAAAGTGCCAGCGTAAAAAAGATAAAAAAGAATAAAAAAGTCGTTCAAGCGCGCAAGCCGAAAAAGAGACCCAAAAACTACCCGCGCGGTTTTTCGCCCAATCAAGGCAAGCAAAAGCAAACAACTTCAACTCTCTCGATCAATCTCAAGCAGAAACAACAAGAGACAACAAGGACAGACGACGGAACACAACAACCTGACCTGCTCTTCTTGCACCTTAGACTCAGATATCTTTCGTGGTTGAACAGTCGAGACGCAAGCATGGGCTATAGCTACTACCACGGCCTGGGCGGCCTGACCGTCGCCCTGATGGTTGTCGGGCTGTGTAAGTCTACAATCTACGAGCGGATGGCTTTGGACCGGGCAGACTGCTAATTCCTGCTCATAGATATGCTCTTCAACGGGGAGGGCGAAGCGTTCAACGTGTGTTCTTTTCTCTGCGAACCGTCGACTGTCGGCCCATAGCTAATCTCTCCCAGGTCGGCCTCTTCCTCGAAACCGTCTCCCCATACGCTTTCGCAAACATAGGCATTGGACTGTGTGTTGGACTATCAGTCGTTGGCGCAGCATGGTCAGCATAGCTCTCTTCAGCTCGTGACAGCACCGTCTCTCTTCAGTCGTCCTAACCTGTCTCGTCTCTTATACAGGGGTATCTTCGTCACAGGGTCCTCCATTATCGGCGGAGGTGTCAGAGCTCCCAGGATACGGACGAAGAACTTGATCTCTATCATCTTCTGCGAGGTCGTCGCCATCTACGGTGTCATCATGTCCATCGTCTTCTCCTCGAAACTCTCGTACGTATCGGAAGAGAGCCTATACTCAGGCAGCAACCTATACACCGGATACGCCCTCTTCTGGGGCGGCCTCATCGTCGGAGCATGCAACCTCATCTGTGGTGTCGCAGTTGGTATAAACGGAAGCAGTGCTGCGCTTGCCGATGCTGCTGATTCCAGCTTGTACGTCGTCAGCCATACCTCCATCTTGTATTTCTACTAATGTCCTCCTAGGTTCGTCAAGATCCTCGTCATCGAGATCTTCAGCTCCATTCTCGGTCTCTTTGGTCTTATTCTCGGCTTGCTTGTCGCCGGAAAGGCAAACGAATTTAAGTGAACGCTATACATGGCCTGATCGTTGTGTGATTTGGTTAACGATGAATATACCACTCTTACCTATCTCGGGGTCATGCATAACCCCCCCCTTCTCGCGACTATTTCGTTTATCATCTTTCTCTTTCTTTTTTTACAGTATGCCTTTATCATGGCATGAGGCGTTCGGTATCTACTTTTTTCTAATCGCATACATAGAGCGCATTCGGTCAGTTGACTGCCCTGGCACCATGCGAGAAAAGGAGCTCCCTCTTCGTTGCTGACCTGAGAGGGCTTGACAATGTGGATGTAAAATAATAGGTTAGCCTTGTATTTCGAATAGCGAATACACCTTTTTCGACGACGATGTTCATGTTTATAGAGGCAGGCTATTAATAGTAGGCGATGTCGTATAAATCCTTGCTTCGAACATAAACATACTCATAGTTAACAAACCATAAAGAAACCAACTTGCAACATCAAGACCAACAGATCAGATATATAATACAACGGTTGACAGGCTACAGCTATCATTACCATGGCTGAACGCTTGAAGGCAGCTATCCTCGTTATCTCAGACACTGCTTCTCGAGATCCTTCGACTGACGGAGTAGGCGACGTCCTTACCGACACCTTCGGCCAGCAGGGCGACAGATGGGACAAGCCAACCGTCGCCATCGTTCCAGACAGTGTAGTAGATATCCAGCGCCATATCTCTCGATGGGCTGATGGAGAGCATCCCTTCAATCTCATCGTCACCTCTGGCGGGACGGGGTTCGCTGTCAAGGATAACACACCTGAGGTTAGCCAACACCAGCTTTATCTAAGAGCAGGAATGATATCGCAGTCTATAGCTCTCCTGATACTGACTACTTGTAGGCTGTTTCGCCTTTAATCCATCGACATGCGCCTGGGCTGGTGTAAGTGGTCTGCTACTGTATGAAATCGACACTCGCTCACTGCTTGTTACAGGCATGCCATGTTGTCTACTTCGTTTGAGATAACACCTTGTATGGCCATTGATGCATTCACTATTTACTGCATACTAACAGATATCTAGTTGCGATGATGTCAAGGCCAGTTGCAGGAGTAAGACACAAGTCGATCATCCTAACGGTACCTGGATCCCCCAAGGGTGCAAAGGAATGCGTCGAAGCAGTTATCAAACTCTTGCCCCATGCATGTGTTCAAGCAGCAGGCGCTGATTCAAGGTCCCTACATGCTGGTGGAGTTAATAAACTAGAAAAAGAAGCTGGAGTGGCCGCCGTGTCTTCAAGTTCAGAAAAATCCCATCGTCACTGTCACCACCATGGCCATGGACATGGTCATGCTACACCCAAGGCTCATACAACTGCAGCTGAGAGACCAAGTCCCAATGATCCCTCTGTTGGCCCAACTCGGCGCTACCGTACCTCTCCATATCCAATGATCTCAGTCGATGAAGCCCTGGAGCTGATATCCGAACATACGCCAGAGCCTATGGTCATCGAAGTCCCTGTGGATATCTCTCTTGTTGGCTCTGTTATAGCTGAGGATGTCTTTGCTGCAGAAGCTGTTCCGGCCTATCGGGCAAGCATCGTTGACGGATATGCCGTCATTGCCCCTGCTTCCCCGGGAGACGATGGCAACAGCACAAAGGGTCAGTTTCCAGTAGCATCAGTATCTCATGCACAAGCAGCTTCCATGCCCCCGCCGCTGAAGCCTGGAAATATCGCCCGTATCACGACGGGTGCTCCGCTTCCAGATAATGCAAACGCAGTTGTCATGGTAGAAGATACTGTTTTAGTATCCACTACTCCAGACGGACAGGAAGAAGCTGTCGTCGAGATTCTAACTGCAGATATCAAGATCGGGGAGAACATCCGTGAACCAGGTAGCGACGTTAAGCTCGGCTCAAAGATTTTGCAGAAGGGAGATCTCATCACCGATGTGGGAGGCGAGATAGGTCTACTGGCCTCCACAGGCACCAAGACTGTAAAGGTATACAAGAAGCCATGTATCGGGGTGCTTAGTACGGGAGACGAATTAGTCGAGCACTCCGACCCTACCAAACTTACGGGCGGTCAGATTCGAGATTCAAACCGGCCATCTCTAATCTCATGTTTGACCTCGTGGGGTTTCCCAACTGTTGATCTGGGTATCGCGGAGGACACATCCGGTCACTTGGAAGAACTCCTTCGCGATGCTTTGCGTGGATCAACACCATCCAATCCCTCAGGCGTAGACGTCATCATCACCACTGGCGGAGTCTCAATGGGCGAGCTTGACCTACTGAAACCTACCATCGAACGACAGCTAGGAGGCACTATACACTTCGGACGAGTGTCGATGAAGCCAGGTAAACCTACAACTTTTGCAACCATCCCGTTCAAACCCAGCTCATCTACCTCGAGCCAGAGAGAGACTAGAGTCATCTTCTCTCTTCCTGGAAACCCAGCTTCCGCATTAGTTACACTCAATCTGTTTGTGCTTCCGTCGCTCCACAAGACGATGGGATTGACCCAACGAGGTCTTCCGGTCGTGAAGGCATCTCTAACCCACTCGATACCCAAAGACCCGAAACGCACGGAATATCACCGCGCTGTGGTAGGTTCGTCTGAAGAAGACGGACGGTTACTTGCCACAAGCACTGGCGTTACTGGTGTAGGACAGCGGAGCTCAAGAGTTGGTAGCCTGGCAAAGGCCAATGCACTGCTAGTTCTTGAGCCTGGGTCTGGTTCTATTGAGAAAGGACAATTAGTCAAAGCTTTGATGATGGGGCCTATGGCTTGATATTTGATGAATTTGAATAGTATATGACAATGATATGAACCGAAATTAGCAACAATATATATATCAAATATTTTCTATACATACAATGCCGAAGATGTTAAATATGTAGTACCCAAAATTTTGTATCGTCATTCCCCTGTTTTTTTCTTCCGAAAGATAAACGCCAGGCAGGATATTGCATTCTTGTTGATGGCATTATGCCTTGCCTACTTTCCACCCTTTTTTCTTCTCTGCTCTAAGAGCTAATAACGCTCCATCTCTACCAGGAACTCTCCCAATCTCCACGACAATAAATCGTACAAAATCTTGCAGTATCCAGTAACTGCTATGTGCACTTAACATGTTGAGATATTGAATATTTAGTGGGCCACCACCAACGTTGAGATAGAAATCTATCTGTCCATTATCGTTTAAAAGAGCCATGCGTGTTTCGGCGATTTCTTCCCGAGTAAAGTCATGAGTTTCCAACTCGATATTTGAAGGGAGCTTGGACATAGTAGCTGTGGCACCTCGAGCTGTGCTGCCGACTGTGGCACCGGTAGTGTACGTTGAACCCCAGCGAAAAACGCTAGTAATGCTTTGTAACAGCGAGGTCGACGAACTGGGTATGATTTTTGGTTTGAGTGAATTTGCGAGGTCAGCATCCACTGCCGCATTCAGACGGTAAGCGATGGGATCTGTATCGTTTAGGATGTTATATATGTTGTCAACGGCTAGACACCCATACTTCCCAGCCTGGCCAGCAATACCGCGGCCGGCGTCCTCACCATGATCCATTCCTGGCTTATTTCGACCCTTTCGAGGAAGGAGAACCGATTTGTTAAGCAAGAGGAAAAATCCTACCGGGCTACCGCAAAGAAATAGGTTCTTGGTATCGAACTCGAACATTGTCTCGGTAATCTCTGTATTTGAAAAGTCGATGGGCGGAAGAACGGTCGGTTGGTGTGAGAGAATATCCATCGCCATAACTGTTCCCAGGGAATGGGCAATTATATGTACCCTTCCACGAGACTGGAAACCAGGGTTATTCTGGCACCAAAGTCGATATATTCGATTAGCTTCCCTTACGACGGCATGTACCATTTTCTGCTTATGGTGAGACAGATAGTACGGAATGTCGAGCATAACGTCACTGATAAGATTTCGGACTCCTGGAATTGTATCGGGAGTGATATCTTTCAAAGAAAAGTTATTTGCATGAGGATCCTCGGCCGCTGGAGTACTTCCCTCTGTGCCTTCAAGGGAGAGAGTCGTACGCCAGTTTACAGGAAGAACCATTATGTTCTCCTGTCCAGGGCGCATATGAGGCCATACGGCGTCGCTGCTCAGCTCTGCATTCACATCCTTCCGGAATGCATTGATCGCATGTGTGAAATGGAAGCTCTCCACACGCTCGGATAGCTTCTGGCCAATACCATGTATAACCAAAACAAGGTCGCTTACATCTTGTCTCTTATCCTCCATTTGACATGCATAGCAGATCTGTCTGCGAGAAGCAGAGGCAGGCCCAGATGCCATTTCACGCATTTTCATGAAATTCCTTGCATTTGTAGAAACGAACTTTGACGGATGCAGTTTATCCCAAAGCTGGGGGCTGAAACCACGTATAACAGGAATACCAATCTGCCTGCCCTTTCGTACTGGACCAAGAGGTCGTCGTCCCCTTGCAACAGATGGTAAAAGGCTTGGTCGTAGAATTTGTGCCTCCTTCGCATTCACATATATGACACTGGAGGACTTGAATTGCCGCGTGGTATCTACCTGGTATTCCACGCCACCTGCAGCTCTATTTACACCGAAATCAGGATATGTCGCACTTCGCGATAGATGCGCGCTTGCAGCGGACATCATTTCAGGCGATTCATGTCCGGCTTTGTCTGCTTTTTTTAATACCTCATCAGGCCATAGCTTGTATATGATTTTCTCTTCCGCTTCTGCGCCACTTTCCATACAGCTATCGAGCTCATCTTGCCACGTTTGTGTCCAGGGTTTCAATTCCATGTAACCATCTTCCAGATGGTTGGCGAGATCTGTTTCCACAGGAAGCATGGTATTCTTGTAAAACCAAGTTGCTCTAATGACATTTGAGATATCATTAATGGGACTCCAGTAAATAGGTTTCATCTGCAGTTTTGGTAGCTCTACGAGATGAAGACGGGCTGCGCCTACAGTCACTGTCACACCCGTGTCAACTTCTGAGCCACAGGATGAAGGACGAGAACCTGAACTTGGAGACGGTGTGTCCTGATGTTTGGGTTTGACGTCGCCGTCTAACTCCAGAGCTGCCTTGAGGGCCGGGGCTGACTTGCATTCTCCATTTTGCGGACGTTTCATTTGCTCGAGTATGTCCTCATTCCCCCAGGCGGAGCTAGCGCCAGAGTCCGATCGATCTCTGACAGGTGCTCGAATGAACGGAGATCCGCTAACATTGGTATCAGCCATCGCTCTCATTCTACCATCCTCATTATTTTGATATGATGTGCCAGTTCTCGTCGGTGGTCCCGATGCGGGTTGAACTGGTGTATTCTGGCATATCTGTAATTTTTCGCTAGTTTCATGGGATCCGAGGGTCCTTCGTCGTTGCTTTGTTGTTTCAAAGTCAGGAGAGTCGCCTTTTCTGGGTTTTGGAAGGTTGGATATCGAGTCCTTCCCGGCAGCAACATTGCCATCCACAAAAATCTCTCGAACCCCAAGCGGACTCCTCCTATTTTCCCTCCCATCGGCCCGCAAACGTGAAGCCGGGAGAGATTTGCTACTTTTTATAAACTTGCCATCCGATCCTCGCCGGTTTCTTTCTCCATCTCGCGGTATGTCCCAGCGCTTCAAGGTACTTTCCCTAGAGCCAGGGCCCCTAGAATCACGTTTGTTCTCTCTTTCAAAATCAACTCGAAGAGCTTGCCAAGCTTCCTCCAGAGCTATGCTATCACGGCTCGAGAAGGGTCTCGGAGGTAGCTGTGTATTCGATCCGGTAGCCGGGGCTGTTATTGGCGTCAAGGGGTCATCGATTGGAAGAGAAGATAGGTAGAAGAACTGTGCTCGAACAGTTGGTGGTGGTGGGATGATCTCATCAGGGCCACCCTTGATAACGGTGTTGCCTTCTTCCTCGTAGAGCAGACATGTTCGCCCATATGTATGTGTGGGAGCCGCCATGGCGTCAAAGATTGCTTATCCGGTGCTCCTTCAGCCGTTGGTAACTGAAGCAGCAGCCTGTCCTTTATATATCCAAGGTAAATTAAAGAATTATAAGAGCAGAAGAAGCTCCACCTGACGTGGTAGTTTCTGGCATTCTGGATGTGACGAACAAAGCCATAGGCAACAGTATTAACCGTATTGCAGTCTATTCCGGCAGTCGTATATATATAAGACAAGTAAGAATAGAATTTTCCTCTGGCCAGTTCACATCCCAAGAAACGAGGCAGAAGAAACCAGGTTGTCTTTTTCTTCTGCTGGTTGGGAATTTATTAAATGTTGACGATGACGTTGTTGGTTGGCAGATTCACGTGACATCTCAACGCGCATGTGAAGGGTTGAAGATTGTTTCATACATTCAATCTTGTTAACTCTTGATTATAGAACTGAGGTATTCATACACAAATTAGGCCGTTGGAACGGTTAATCGATCACCAAAGTCGGCTTTGTAGAGATCACGAACCAAAAGGCAGCAACAAAAAACAACCGTATCATACAAAAAGCATCAATCAACATTGGAAGTAAGGAGAGCATCGTGGTTTGCCTTGGCTTTAAGCCATGCGTTTTCCAAACGCCGACGGATGAGATGCTCCTTGGGTTGCATGCTTTTCCGCGGATTCCTTCAGCTGCTTCTCCTGGGCCTTCTTCATTGCTGCAAGTGCACCCATCTGCAGCTCCTGGAAGGCCAGGAATGTCACCAGTGGTCCTCCCAGCATCTCCAGGATCTTGTGGGTATCATGCATATGTTTCCTAATCACACTATCCGGGTAGCAAAACGTGCGAATGCTCATTTCCTTTGCCATGGCTTTCCAGTTGTATAACGTTGCGTTTAACACGACAGTGTTGAATGCACATTCACCGTGGAACTTGAAGGTTCGGAGGTTGTAGATGATCAAGTCTCGCTGTGTGGCTTGGTCGAACTGGAACTGGACAACTTGTGGTCTGCTCTTGGAGACCCAGAAATTGGTAACTTTGTTGACGGACTCTGCAGACATGTGGCCGGCCTGGTACTGGCTGATGAGGAACTGGTTGGCCGTAACGCATATCATCAGTTCCATTTCAGAGTAAAGCTTCGCCTGAGTGGGCGGGTCAAGAGATATTGGACAGGTAGATCTGGCCAGCATCTTGGGCTGGAAAGTGGAAGATGCGGATCCTGTCTATAAGTGCAGGTCAGAACTAGTTCTATAAACATCTATCAAAACTTTGAAATAATGGGCACTCACAATATCCTCAACACGTTGTTTGATCTTCTCCCCAAGAGCTCTCAGGCCGGGCTTCTTCTTTTCGCCGGGCACATCATTGATATCGGGCGATCGCCCTAGCCATCCGTTTTCACCAAATAACTTCTTATGTGGAGACTTTGAACGTCTTTGACGAGGGTAAAGGTCAAGGGCAGTATCCTCATCCAGGTCTTCAAGCTTGGTAGGAGAACGGGAACGTCCACGGCCACGGCCACGAAGCACATGAGTTGATTCGTGTCTCTGCTCATGGTGCTGGTTACCCGTCTGCCACTTCTCTGTTGGGGGCACCCTTGCCGGGCCTTCCCAGCCTTGATAATAGTTGGCCGGATCCGAGCCGTCACAACCTCCGTAGTCGAATGACTTTACGTTCCCATCAGACTTGGATTGTGGGATACGTCTGCCGTGCTGGCTTGCATCTGCAGGGTAGGAATAAGCCTTTGGTGGAGATGGTTCTCTCTGGGCCCGCGCTTCACTCTCCAGTGGTCCAGGCCATACACTCTGGCGGCCGCTACCTTCATGATAGTCTGAGGCACCGCCATACGATGAGTGACTAGCATAATCGATCAGTATCAATGAAAAATTGTCCTCCACGCCATTAGTAAAGGGATATGCATTCCACACCTGTCATATGCCAGTGGAACATCCATGGCCTCCGATGGATTAAATTTCTTCGGTTCCAGCGAGTTAACGGGGATTCCAGCTTCCTTTGTAGATTGAACGGTTAGATGCAGTATATCTCGCGTAAGCTGCCGGAATGCGTCTCTAGAAGAGCAGCAAGGGGGGCAGTCTTGGGCAGCCGGGCTGTGGTCCTGGTGGCCTTTTGATTCCAGGTTAGGCAAACTTGAAGAATGAGAATGTGAAGAAGGATTAGGTCTTTGTTGCTGGCCTAATCCAGGGATGAAATTTCCAGTACCGCCAGCGCGTTGGTGCTGTGAATGTTCCATGCTTGAGCTTTGTTTATATATGTGTATGTGGATGAGATGGAGAGTTCCTAGGCAACGCGCTGGAAAAGTAAAATAAAAGAGAAAAGACAGTGAATCTCTCAATAGAGAAGAGTCACATATGTTGAAAATAGGGAACTAGAAAAAGGCCACAATGGACACCAAAGCCATTGTTGTGGTTTGGCAGATTTAGTAGTTAGTATTAGGTTGATATAAATGATGTCGCTTGTGTTGGAATAATAAACAACATCAGTCCGGATCTTTGGGTCTAGCTTAGCCCGGACTTATGCCACACGAACAGCCTACACACCTATATAGCAATGTTCTAGCATAGCTAAGAACAACAATATAATGATCCAGATGGCTTTGTCTTCTAGAACTACCTGAGAAGATAAAGTAGCTTTGGATACTAAAACGTATAGAGGTCAAACAACTAAATTTTGAATTGTCTTGTGTATAGTAGCAATACTGGTATACAGCAGACCTGAAGGAATATCTAGTATTCTCTAGAAAACAATGGTTCCATTGAGCTCTTGATAGAAGAGATAAAGCCCTTGAATATAGATATATATCTATACCTGCCTATATGCACTATAAAAGCAAGGGGGTATATACGATGTATTGACCGTTTGATGATATTTTGCCTGATTGAAAGTGTGAATGGTAGGTACTGGGATAGTTCAATTTCTCTTGATGAAGGCCATCAAGAGCCACCACGTCCTCGAAAATCTCGACTACCTCTGCCTCAACCCGATTATGGAGCTTGCGCCTCTCGTGATCTTCTTTCTTCCGGGAACAGCGGACATGTATTTCACATCTATGGCTGCTGAGGCTGCACTGGATACAGCCGGTCGCCAGAATGCACATAGCATGACACTCTCAGTGAGGATGTTATCAAGCTCTTCAGGCTTGTCAATCGTGAGCAGTTGCATCGGGAGATCCTGGCGTTTTCGATATCACATGATCATTGGGTTGCCAGGATCCACGGCCTTTATCTTTATCCTTCGATTAGAGATAAAACAACTACTATCGCCATGCTTCGACGTCACAGAATTGGATGGTAGGGACAGGTTGGCATTTTATCAATTCGTTTTGGGTATCTATGATGGCTGGGCTCCGTTTTATTTTAAGAGACGATGTTCAGCTATAACTAGATGGGCTAGCGAAAGATACGGACTGTAAGGTCTCGCATCAGAGTGCGTCACAGCCGGCCAGGTTATTAAAGATCGAGGGCGAGAGCTTTTCTGGGTCAACTGGGCTTTCATAAGGTATTGGCGGTGTTGATATACAAGGCTCGAGTTTACTTCAGAACTGGACGGACTAAGTTGTTTTGACCAACTCGGACCAATTCACTTCTTCGGCTTCTTGGACTCCTCACAAGAGGGCGAAGCACGATGCCGCCTGTTACCAACCAAATGCTTAATGCACGACGGGAGGAGAACTGCATAGCCGTGACTCTCGAGCGGAAATACTACAGGGTCGGCCAGACATGGGTTAAGCGCAGCCTACGGCCTTCGGAATGGCAGATCAACCCATATGCTGGTACTCTCGTTGTGCCTCGATTTGGAAAGGAACGAATCCGGAACGAAGCAGCGTCGATGAAATTCATTGCGGAAAATACAGACATCCCAGTCCCTAAGCTATACTGTTGTTTCGAAGACGATGAAGCTGTATATCTGGTTACGCAGTATGTGGAGGGAGTTGGTATGAATGAGCTGGAGAAGAGAAGCGAAAGGTCGTCGAAAAGGAACTGGAGCTTCATTTGGAGTCCATGAAAAAGTTGAAATCAAGGTTTTGGGGTGGCCCTTCAGGGGTTGTATGACGAAATTATGAATAACCTACTTTTACTCCTTCTGACAGTGACCAGGTTGTACCGCCATACCGTGTTATGGTTAGAAGTGCCCGCCCTCAGTGGGAAATGAAGCCCCTCGAATCTGAAGCTCTGGTGTTTTGTCATAACGATTTGTCCACCAATAATGTGATCGTTGACCCCGAGACGCTCAAAGTGAGGGCCATTATCGACTGGGAATACGCGGGTTTCTATCCCGAAGAGTTCGAGGGAATGTTTTATCGGAGGCCAGGGCCTTCAGTCGCACTAGAGGGGGAAGTCAACGACGAGGATAGACTACTAGACGTGATGATTGAGAATGAGACAAGATAGGCCCCAGCCCTCGACCCTTTGGGTTGACCCGGCCCGCAAATCCTCATGTCTACATTCAGGCACGTTTTATTAACAGATAAAGTCTCTTATTATCACCAATGGCTTATTGACAGCTAACATGCAACAAAGACTCCAGAGAGTAAGGAGTAATCAAATCCCTGGACAAGGTTGTAATCAAACATGCACAGCAGGCTCCTCCTCTTAGGTAGAATACATCTTTTATTTTCTTTCCATATTATCTAGATGTTCCCCCAGTGGCTCAGGTCTCATCGGACCTTAAATGCTGACAACACCGCTCCTTTAAATTACCCCGGTATACTCCGAAGACCATTATAGTCATATAGCCTTCATTTAATGAGCAACCGGGGCCTTATTCTGAGCAATACGACCTCTGAAAGCTCTCTTATATAGGGTTCCTTGCAATCGCGAGATGACCAATCCCCCACAACTGGTCGATATCTGTAAGCTCGCTGTATGTTAGTCATCGATTATCAGGAAACCCGCAAACGAAGGCAATATAAGTTATTTAACTTACTCGGAGCTTATAGATGGAGATCTTTAAGCATATTTAGGAGGCCTAGGCTGGCCTGCTTCCACTGCATATTGGATCTGGATAGCCTTGCCAGTACGGCTTGCCATATCGTAAGGTCGTTGCTTCATAATGTAAGGGTTTGAAGCCTTTTTTCGGACGCTAGGTGGTAGAACGGCGTGTCATGTTGTCGTGGTCAAGAGGAAGAGAGACGTGGGAAGTGGGAGGTCGAAGGTGGGAGGAAAAAAAGGGAAAAGTAAAATTCAGTTGCTGAGTTGTCCTTTGTATTAGTCAGCCATTCCAAAAGGAGCACACCGACCAAGCCAGGCTCCCCTGGGCTGAACACTTATACATCGTAGTAGGATCAGCCTTTTACATAGTACGGAGACTGTCGGTGACAGCTAGACAACGTTGTTGGAATTTAATAGATCTGTGGATGGCAAACGCCCCATCTCTTCGCATACCTCGTCATGGTTGGAGTATGTCCGAAGCCCATGGTACAGTACAAATTATTCAGCCCTGATCCCACGGGCAACCAACAGCATCATAAACCCGCATTGCCGTGATGTTTACCCAGACAGGCTCCCTCACTACTGTACAGGGGCTTCTGACTGGCTAGGGTGGCACCCTACATAACAAGGGCTGTATGTACTCCGTTTATTCGCACCTTATGATAGACTAATTGGTTAGGTGACAGCGATATCCTAGTCCGTCAACGATGTACACACATACATCCTCTCAGGCACGGAGTACAAAAGGAAGCATTGTGTATATATTGCCACCATTGGCCATCAAGTCGAGAGGATTCTTACAGAGTATGGAGGATTTCCTTTTCCTTTGTGATATTATTCCTCCGACAGCCGATTCCTACCTAGCCTTCCTGTGCTGGCCCCGAGTTATACGCATATCTAAGACGTGGGCACCATCCAGAGTTCCAGGGATCTTCACATGCAATGCTTGTACACTTGCGATCAGCTTGAGTTATTTAGCATTATTCACAGAAATCAACACCTCTATTTCCAAGTTTTGACTCTGGCATCGTCATTGAGCAGCAACAGAACATTTGATTGTGAACAAAAGATTCAGCAAGCAATATTAGCCTACTCATGGGTTCGTATATGTCTTTCCCCTGCCACTCAGCCACTTGAAACTCATTTTTACCATAACTTATTATCTGGATACTGAGACACGCTACTACTTATATATAGTAGTCGGCAATGGCAGGTGTTGATAGCATACATTATTAGATCAAATTTTTTCCACAGATATCATACACAAAATGGGTGAGGAAGTCTATGATATAGTCATCATTGGTGCTGGGCCATTTGGCCTCTTTTTGTCTCTTTGTTTATCCAGATGGGGTTACAATGTGAAACACATTGATAACCGAGTGGTGCCCACCAAGACCGGCCGTGCAGATGGGATGCAGTCTCGTTCGATCGAGATATTGCGAAATCTTGGCCTAAAGAGCCTGCTGATGGCCTACAACCCTGGACGGGTCTACAATGTTGCATTCTGGGACCCTCTCCCTGACGGCAAGGGCATTCACCGGACGGGCAGTTCGCCCAGTTGCCCGCCATCCATCAGCACAAGATATCCATTCTCTATGACACTACACCAGGGCATAATCGAGAAAGTGTTTCTAGATGAGATGGCCAAGTGTGGAACTATCGTGGATCGACCAAGTACCATAGTCAGCTTCCAGCATGACGGAGAAAACCCCGTTTACCCTATATCGGTTACCGTAAAGGGCCTGGACACAAATGTGGAACAAACTGTGCGGACAAAATATCTAATTGGGGCCGAAGGTACTCGAAGTTTTATCAGAAACCAGCTAGGCATCAAGATGCACCAGAAGGGCCCTGTTGCCGCTGTGTGGGCTGTTATGGACGGTGCTGTCCAGACCAATTTTCCAGATATCAGGGTATGATTTGAATTCTTACAGATATATCTAGAATTGGCCATCTTACTGACAAAACCATCTAGACCAAATGCACCATTCATGCCGATAATGGTTCAGTAATGGTGATACCTAGAGAAAATAATATGGTCCGCCTATACACTTGGGTTTCTTTCCCGAGTGACTCTAGTCCGGATCCAAGACGGTCAATCACCATCAAACAAGCGCAAGAGTCCGTTCAACAGACCTTGAAGCCGTACTATATCAACTGGGATACTGTGGAATGGTATTCCACCTACCCAATCAGTCAGAGTTTAGCCGAATCATACAGTCTAGATCAGCGTATCTTCATCGGTGGGGATGCATGCCATACTCACAGTGTAAGGATCCCTACTCAAATTCCAATAAACTGATAAGTTGTCTAATTACTCTCCTCCTCAGCCCAAAGCCGGTCAAGGCATGAATGCTGGTTTTCACGATGCTTTAAACTTAGCATGGAAGATCCATGTTGTTGAGGCTGGGTTTGCAGATCGCTCGATCCTGGAATCTTATGAAGGGGAACGGAAACTCATCGCTCATCAGCTGCTTGACTTCGATGCCAAGTACGCAAAATTATTTTCCCAGCAACCATCTTCCACAGACCCTAACTCCAAAGAAAGCAAGGAGTTTACCGAATTGCATAAATCAGCTGCCGAATTTACCAGCGGCTATGGCATCGTATACCCGCCAAATGTTTTTAATTGGGATCCAAATCACCGCGCCAAATCACCGCTCTTTCTCCCGGGAGGAAATGGGCTAATACCCGGCCGCGTTTTCCCCATAGCCACGGTTACTCGGGTCAGCGATGCTTATCCTGTGCATCTAGAACAGGAAATTCCCATGAACGGATCATTCCGGATATTGATTTTCGCCGGAAGCCTGGACAAGTCTAGAGCTGCTTTGGCTGATTTTTGCCAATATTTGGAAAAACCTTCTAGCTTCTATTCCTCATTTGCGACACCCAAGCTTTTGCCGGATCGAGACTTTGAGAAGCATAACCCTCACTCACGATTTTTTACTCTAGCAGTGATATTTATTGCAGAGAAGGATGATGTTGACATTTCCGCGCTGCCATCGCCCCTCAGAGCCTATCATCACCATGTCTATATCGATGATCTCATCCGCCAGCGATCTACTCATGCGATGGGATCTGTGCATAGGAAGCTGGGTTTTGACACCGACAAACCCGGTGTTGTGGTGATACGCCCTGACGGGCATGTTGCTTGTATGGTCAAGCTGGCGGAAGGAAGCGGTAGCGTCGACGCTTTAAACAGATACTTTGGCACGTTTACATCGAGGTCAAGTAGTACGCCTATGACTTCACGACTCTAAATATTCTTTCTATCCATTTACGGGATCATATATAATACAGCGCAGTTTCTCTCAATATTTTTGGTTAGCTAGTTATACTGCCCTTTGGACCTTCATGACGATGCACTAATCCAGGATACAAGTTTCTTATCTATTTTGCCGCTGACATTAACTTATCAAATCCAATAATTTGGCTGTCACGTTATGCTTGTGGTGATGTCCATTTGTCCACGTATCAGAGGAATGAGTTCGAAAACAATCACCATATATTATAACATACATCATTTTATGGTAGGAAGAGATGCAATAAGTGTGTGCTCGAGTCTCTTAATCATATCTTGCTGGGTATTTACTGGATTTAAGCTTGTTAGCCAGCCAAACTAACAATTGAAAATAAGTATATGACCAAACATGGGATATCAGTCGTATACTAGTGAATACATTCATGGAATGTCTCTCCTCGATAGAAATACTCGGTATTAACAGTAATTTATAGTGGGAAGAGGATAATATTTGTCTTAAATAGGTTGTTTTAATCTCCAACCTGATATTTCTCACGGCTAAATTTAGTTCAACCCTGAAAATTATCAAGATTCCACGACTCAACAAACATACACATCGACAGTGCATAATAGCAACCAAAGCCTGAGAAGATGTTTACCCTTACGCTCTCTGCACAAGTGTCCGGGTAAGTTTTCTTTCTTAACTGTCTAGAAATGATAGAAGCTGTTCGGCAGAGGAACCCATTTAACCCCACGACGCTACCCCTCCATATCAAAGCATCTACAGGCCGTATTCTTCTCCTTCAGTTTACCCACCGATAGAGTCAAGACACGATACTGGATAGGCATGTATGAATAACCGGAACATTTGAGTGCATAGGGTCACCGATATCCACCCAAAAGATACCCCCGATGATCCATACTACTATACCTTCAAGGTGCAGTGCACATCTTGCCGTGAAGTACACCCAAACTGGGTGAACGTCAGCCGATTCGTATGTATACCCGCTTCTCTCCGGAAGCCCAGTCACATTTCCCTTACTATTAGCCACAGCGAGTAAATGGTGAGGAAAGGTTGGGTTCTGTGCACAGTAGATGCATGTATCTAGGCGATCATATTCGCCTAACATGCGGCGCATTTGCCACATATAACCCATCCTTTTTTACAAGAAGCTCTTGCATTCGTCAAGTTTCATCGTTGTCTGACCACATTTTTACTGATAGCTTTAATAGGAGCAAAACGAAGTTCCCGGGAGCCGGGGAGAGGCGAACTTCGTCTGGAAATGCAGACTCTGCGGGGTGAGTGGATGACCAGGTTTGCGTAACTACACATTAGCTCTCTATACCAGCGATGGGGACTGCTGCAATACGCAACGCTCTGAGTTGATAATCATGAGTTGACTTGTTTGACGGTGGTAGCGGACCCATTCTGCCAACATAACCACTGGACCAATGGCGTTTGATGAGTCCAAGGAGTCAAAGGGCAAAGGCCAAAAGATCATCGAATTTGACTGTCGTGGACTAGAGTTCACGGAATTCAAAGCAGACGTAAGATCGTCCCTGTCAGGCTACAAGTATCTACTACTGACACATGAGGTACATAGGGAAAATGGGAGGCAACAGGCATAGAGTCTGGAACTAAATTTGGCGAGATCAACCTTGAGGAAGGTGAATGGTACGATTTCGACGAGAAGCAGGGCGAGGAGGTTAGCATCACGGAGATAAGCTGGGAAATCCGTCGAGCTTGAGCCGTAACTCTGATGCCTGGAGCCTATTGCAAGTTGAATTCTTGAGTTAATAACAATCATTGTACTTTTATTTCTTCCTCTTATTATGTAGAAATGTGTCGCTGCTTTAGAGGCTGAGTAGCGCTTACATAATATTACTAAAGCAGCGTCAAACCCAACCAAAAAAGGCTAAAAATCAAGATCGCGAAAGTTGAAGCTCGAAAAGAAATCAATTTCAAGACGAAGAAAAAAGCAGAAGAAGATTAAGCGCCGTTTGACTGACCTGTAAACTTGCTGTCACTATTATTGTTATCGACCAAAGAAGGGAATACGCGCTTAATTGAACCCCACAAAATGAGTGTAAGTTCCTGCCCACCTACTCACATGGGGATCGTGTGGGAAACAAGGTCAACTAACAGCCATGGGCATGGATAGTTCGTTCCTCTCAATCCTCGGCCTATGCTGCAGTCCTTGTACGTTTTTATTCCAGCTTGAACCATTCTCTCCATGTATAGCGTTCGACAACCTGCCGCCTAGCAGAGATCACAATGCGTTTCAGCCGCTTTATACCCACGTACGGTTATATTCAAAATTGATATGCCAGATACGATTGTTGTGATGGCTGAAGTTGCCTGCCAATAATATGCCCATGGGATAGATGTGCATGGAAATGATGTCTGATTATATGGGCTGGAAGCTAATACCGCCTTTTGACGCTAGGATTAACGACGATATTGTCGTTCGCCTAAAATGGGGCCAAACCGAATATAAAGGCAGACTGGTCAGCGTTGACTCATACATGAACATTCAGCTATCACAAACTGAAGAGTTTATCGATGGGAGGAACACTGGTACTCTAGGCGAGGTTCTTATACGGTATGCAGAGTACTAAATGCCTGTACGTGAACTCTAGCTAACATTAATTAATGCAGGGTGCAACAACGTCCTTTGGATAGGGAGTGCAAAAGGTGTGGAAAACAAGGACGTCCAGATGGCTGATTCCTGATGATAAATCTTCTTTCTACATTTCGTCTCGTCGTGGGGGCTGTTCCTGGGCAAACACACCGGATCTCAGCCCGTTATCATTTCTTCTGTCTTTATCTATTCCTTGCAGTGGAATGGCGAATGGAGTTCGAATCGAATTGAATATAAAGAAAGCCTGCGGCATCAATGAGCAACCAAATGAGATCATACATTACGTGATACCATCCTACGGAGGCTCCAAACTGTCTGTAGACCGCTGACTATCCATGGGAGTATGGTTAGACGAATTAACGGGAACTTATTTGAACGGGAAGAACTGGCGGATGAACGCAAGAGCTTTGGATTCGGAATCTGTTGCTAACGGGATTAATGGGGGTTTGTTTACCCGGGATCATGCGTTTGCATGGCAGGCGTATGGTATGCTATAAGCATCCATTCAAATCATTCTTACGTCCTTCCCGCCCGTTACACAACAACATACATGTCTCGGGATTATCGGGTCGGAAATGTTGTATTGCTGCCTTGAAGTCAAATGTTCTCCCTGACGGTCGATTATCCCATGAGACGAACAAACGTCATGTCTACACCCACAGCAACAGGTGACACTTCGTATGACAGTCCGGAATAATAAGCCAGATTTATAATAATCTCGCTGAATTCCTATATGTAATGTAAGCTTGGTAATAGGTCGCGTTCGGACACAAACAAGTTGTTTCGTGCGTACCTTTGTAGAAAAAGCATGAGGTTTTGGCCGTGAGAAAGATTTACGTCATTTTTCTCTCTCACCAGCAACGCAAAAGGATAAAAATAGCCAGACTTATCAACGACCACAGGACATCCGACAAGAATCCCGCCACTCGGACCTAGTTGGTAACAAGCACTCGGAGGACAGAGTGTTGATGTACGCACTTGTTCATGTATGGTAAAAGGTAAGCAATGCAGGGTATGGGTCAACCCAGTTGGCTGGTTTTGGGGGACTGGAATAGACGGACGAAAGGGCAAATCCCCCGGTTAACACACCGCAACGAGAGAGCAACTTGATCTCAGGGCACGGTGACGTTTATCCCAGTCTTTAATGAGCGGATATACGGTAACTAACAGTCTCGACGGTAACTGGTGAATCCTTCTCTGCCCACCCATATTCACAAGATCCCAGTTTCAGGCAGTGCAGATGCGGCGGCATGTAAGCATAACTAGATATTACACAGCCGGGCGTTCTGCTCGCTCGATCTCCGCCTGGGGCGGCCGTTGAGATCCCGATCCATGACGCCAGTCAAGAACGATGATGTCGCCCTGATGCTTCCTCGATGGTCTGACCCCCGTTTAGAAGCGGGCGTTAAGGGCAGTGCATCTTCGATCTGAGAGTAGATCTATATATACAACGACATGGAGTAACCAGTACATCAGTGCATGAAAATCTGCATGTATATGGCATGTCCAGAGGAGTATATACGTCTATTTCTATAGGCATACTTTATCATGGGGGAAAGAGTCATGCATGATTGCTTTTTCACTTTTCCATGATGTCTCCTTTCCCCTAGCCGCCACAGATGCGTGAGATCAAGTGGGATGATTGGACTTGCACGCAGCTCACAGAACTAAACTCATAATGTTTATGCAGTATTCGGGTTTTGGAAGTGTTTCGTCACTCAGTTTAAGGATTTCCGCATGGAAGAAGTCAATCGGACGGCGGGAAGTGATACTGAGTACGTTTCAACGCACAGAAGAACTATAAACAACAACCTTCGGCAGCAGCATGGACAAGGCCATAGGAAGGATGATTCTTGCTTTCTCATGCTTATTCGATGCGCTTCCCCCACCCGGTTCATTTTTGTTTATGCCAAAATCGCCCACCCTGCAGCGTGTGACCCGATCAGCGGCTTTAACAACTAGAAACAAGGCAAATATGAGATAAGAGGAGGAAGAAGCAGAGGCGGCAGCTTTTTTCACACTGGTGGTGCGCCACATAAGTCCTTGTTCCTTCAGAGGGGCTACCGAGGGTGTGTGAGAGGGCCCGTCCGGACCTCACGAGGGACAGACGCCTGGTTCATTTCTTTTCCCGCATTCTTGTACTCCCTCGGGGGAAGAAGAACGGGGAATCTGCACAAGATTCTTACTTACGACTGAACAACGGGGAAGGAAAAGCCGTGCATCTCAGGCATCATCGGTGGGAGAATACTAGAGGCCGAACAGGGATATATAACTTGACGGAGAATGAGATCCCTCGAATAATAATAATAATAATATATAACAGACCCCAGGAGAAAAAAGGAACTGCTTTGCAGTAGCGTGAGCATCTGCATGGATAGGCGGATGGCCAACGGCAAAAAGCCATTATTTCATCATCCAAACGCTCGCTCACTCCAGGGGGATAAAAAGGGGAAAAGACGAACAGAGTATTATGCGCTCAACACATGCAAGGAGGCATGACTGATCCCACAACCCGTCCTGTTCACCCGTCCAGAGCCGTAATATACAGCTCCAGGAGTTGTTGAGTTATACATATATAACAGGCCTACCCCCCCCCCTAAGGCTCGCCCAGCAGTATCCATATTTTACGCCTTTCTTGCACTGAAGAGATCGTTTAGGGTTTTCTGCTTGTTTTAATCCACTTCTATACATTCGGCGGTTCGGGCAACTCGTAAGTCTTTCCCTGGTGGACCATCGCCGTGAGTTGACAACCGGTACTATTTACATCCGGAGAAGGGGGCTAAAGGGTCTAGTTTATTTAACTAGTTCTGGGACTCCCTCGGGGACGGGTTCGCTACTTATTGCATGCCAGTCGCTCCTTTTTTCGATACCAGTCTCGTCCATTGTCTCGTCTTTACATCTTGATATCTTTCGTCTATACTCCGTACAGCCGTACAGCTCTGCAATAGACACACCCACATCATACACACTACCACAGTGATCATTTGGAAGAAAGCCACCGATCTAAGACGCAGCTTTGTGCTCGCGTGCTCCAAACAAGACCCAAATCACCCATAGACAGCTTCGATCAGAGACAGTAACTATGCCGTTTACATCGCGGTTTGTGGAGCTGCTAGATGCAGAGAGCCATCATGTGTCCTCGGAAGACGACGTGCGCCTTGAAGAGATACTGGCAGAGTGTGAGCGACGGAGCAGTTCACGAGCATCCACATCGTCATCCTCAGTCTCGTCGTCGTCCAGCAAAGAAAACATCAGGGCTCGAAAGGAACCAAGTCGCAAGCTGAGCACCCGAGATAAACTACGACGAATCTCCTACTTTGGGCCGACGAAATAAAAGACTAGACATCCGTCTTTCTTTTCTTCTTGATCTACTCTTATACACTCTTCACGATACCTACGAATGCGTCCAATCCAGCGACTCAATTCGCGCTCTTTTAACGACTTTCATTCACTGGCGGTTTTTTTTTACTTCTTATAAAAAGCCTCCCCGACCTTTTCGCTGTCCTCATGATCACTTACATGCGATCTAAACTTCAGACCTCCTTTTCCCATGTGCGATTGATTGATGAATACACTGCATGCTTCCACGACCACGACTTTCTTGAATAACCCTTTCCCTCCTTACCTTTTTATCTTTACTCAGATTGTAATATTCGAGATACCCCTGTTTTTTTACTACCTTCAAAGAGCTTTCTTCTCCCTTCTCTCCCTCACTTAGATAGTGTTAAAAAAGAAAACCACGCGCTTCGGAAATTACCATATTCCACCAGTTCCACCCATCATGCCGCCCTCGACCCTCCCCCGCCCGAACTATTAGATACTTGCTTCAAGCCGCGAACATATGACTTGAACGGACCGTCATCTTCGTTTTCCCCTCCCTACATAGTATGGCCAAACGCCCTTCCCACTCCGTCACTCATGGCGGAGGACGGTAGACCAGTCATCTGACTTGAATTTGAATTCCCACCGTTTTTTTAGTCTTTTTTTTTTCCTTTTCGCCCACTGGGGCCTCAGCGACCCTCCATCACGGCGAGACCAACCGTACATAGTATCCCTCTACCCCACAGAAAAGAGGAATAGGCACGCGGACTGGAATGTACGTCGCCGTGCTAAGAGTGTCGAGAACAGACTGCCAGTGTGCTCCAACGCTTGTTTCTCCTCGTGTTCTGAAATTGCCCCCCTCTCTCGTAGTGCGAGACTGTTCTAGCCAGAAAAAGGGGCGATTTTGTCAGCGAAGTCGGGGCCGCATTTTTGCCAGGTCTCAGACTCCTTACTAAGGCTGTACGTTCTGTGCTTGTACTGGACGAGTTCATGTAGTATATATATGTAAGGGAGGGATTAACCTCTGGGGTTTCACGGCTCTGGGACAGGGAAGATGGGCCTTTTTGACTTCTCTTCACCGGCCCAGTTCAGGTTAACCATGGCAATAGTCCAGTGTGCTATGGCGCATCACTTCTAGAATCGATGGTCACGGAATGCAAGACAGCGTGTTGATCTCTCTCCACTCTGTTCCGAGGGCGCTGGTCGATGTTCCTGATCCATCCACCAGAGTTGGCTCTTCTTCTTGTCTTTGGCCTATACGAGATGAAGCCGAGGGTTAACTTGGGCTGTAGTTATGATTAGACCTTTTGTCCCTTGTGATCCAGCGGGACTGGCACTTAATAATATGGATTATGTAAGGGATACCCCTGAACGCACACTAGAATATGGGAGTCTTAAGACGGTGGGAGACGTGGTGGTGTATAAGTGTTGGCTCGGTAGAGTAGATGTTGTTGATAGATGGGATGTTGCGGTAGTTTACGTGGTTGTTAGATGTTTGTAGAAGAGTTTCCACTGTAAAACATGTCAAGATACGCGAAAGGGACTTTAACCACAACATCTTAATTACATAGTCGCGGTAGCAAGAGAGAAGAGACAGACAGCATGTCATCTCATCAGAGATCGATGTCTTCTCACCAGAGATCAACGTCAAATGCACCTGCGCCTACGTACTTTGAAGAGCAGCGTGCAGAGCTACTACGAGAGATATCGCTGGTAAGCTAGCCTGGCGCTGATAGCATGGCATGACTTGCAGCTAATAACAGATGAACAGAGTCTAGAAGGGGTGCTACAGAACATTAACAAGTTTAATCGTAACCTCGAGAGCATCATAACGGTATGTTCTGTTCGGTATGAGGGTATATGGACTGTGCTAATGAGTTATAGGTTGGGAACGAACTCAGCTCGGTAGAAGGGCTCTGGTCGCAGTTCGAAGGCGTGATGGGTCGGAATGTCGAGGAGCAAGGCAGTGGGAATGCTGAAGGAGGTCAAGATGTCAAGGACGAGGATAGACAGTCATGATTTACGAGGTTTTATTGATGAGAGTTGACATGAAGTTGAATTTACTTCTAGCATACAAGATAAATGATTACCGCCAGTTTCAATAAACACCTTTTACCAGCAATGCAATATTCCCCCAACGGATCAAATTGAATCCCAATAGACATAAAAAGAAATGAGACATAGGAAAATCGAGATAGAGTGTGAGTCAAAAAAAGGAGTAATAGGGGCAGACAAGAGGAAGCCGCTTTGCCACCGATGGGTAAGGTACAGGCTAGAGATAAAATAGACAATAAGAAAGATGGGCAAAAAGAGGTAAAAAGGGGGGGAGACAGTAACAAAAACACGACGTCAGGACATGTATCTCGTTCTGTTGTCATGTCATACATAATAAGTCGTAGAGTAGCCACGGGGTCATATCACAACAGGCTAAAACATCAGGAACAAAACTGCTAAAAGAACGACGAGGAGGAAAGAGAGCGGAAAGGGAAGAGAAGATGCCAGCATCCTGTAAGAAACGGAGCAACTCAGAGGAGCTTGCAGCTTCTCTTCTTCACCTTCTTGCCACCCTTTGGCCGAGACGAGTCCTTTGGGTTCCAGACGCTCTCCTCGACGCCGATGACGGTGTTGACGGCGAGTTCAAACACCTCGTCGACACCCAGCATCTGCTTGCTGCTGCACTCGACGTACGTGGCGCCCATGCGCTCGGCGACGGCCTGGCCCTGCTGTGGGGTGACGGGGGTGAGACCCTGGGCCTTGAGGAAGTCGATGCAGGTACGGTTTGTGCGTAGGTCTGATTTAAGGCCCACGAGGATGAGGGGGGTGGTTGGGCAGAAATGGATGACTTCGGGGTACCACTGTTTCATGTTAGCTATATATCGTCATCTAGAAGTAAGACCTTTTTGACTTTCCATACCTTATCCATGACGTTTTCCAGCGAGACGGGGCAGTCAATGGCAAAACAGACGAAGAGCAGGTCTGTCTCTGGGTAGGATAGAGGGCGTAGTCGGTCGTATTCCTCCTGCCCTGCTGTGTCCCACAGGGCCAGCTCGACTCCCTTCCCTGACGGCTTATGTATGGTGTGGGAGATGTAGTTTTCAAACACCGTAGGTACATATTTCTATCTTGTTAGTATCGTGTATATATGTATAGATAATGTAATATAGATATGACAACTCACCTCTGGAAAGTATCCCTGGGAATAACTGATCAATAGACAGGTCTTGCCGCATCCACCGTCTCCCACGACGACAAACTTCTTCGAGTAGGAGGGGGGCACCGTGACGGTGGTGCCATGCGAGAGCTGCGAGGCCTGCCCTGAGGAGACACTCAGGTCTGTGTTGATGGTGCCGTTGCTGACCCGGGTGCTCTGGCTGCGGAGAGGCTTGCGTCGTGGCGATAGAGGGGGAGTCTTCTCGCTGAGCACGGACGAGTGACGCCGTATATGGCCATGTCCATATCGTTCCTCAAAGGTGTGAACCGACATTATCGTCTATGAAGATTGTCTATCGCTGTAGAGTGTAGAAGTCGATGTGTGGTGTCTGAAGGTGTAGTAGTATAAACAAATGTATATACCCCGAGAGAGATAAACAGCAAGAAGTTACACGAGAAGAAGAAAACCAGGAGGAGAGGGAGAGAAGAAGAATAAGAAGAGAAGAGATTCTCCTTTTTCCTTCTAGCGTGGCGTTCAGCTTCTTCTTCTGCCTGTCTCTATCGCTTGTCTCTGGCTGTCTCATGCCGGGTTGTTTACGCTGAGTCCGCCCGATTGCTGCCATGGCAACGCCCTCAGCCCAAGCCATCTTCTGCTTCTTCCTCTTCATCGTCCCCGCCATGGTTGGACCAGGGACTGGGATCTGCCTTTAGCTCTTCTTGTCGATGTGGTTCTCCCTCATGGTGTTGGTTGGTCTGCACAGCAGTGGATGGGATAATACTTGGATTATAGAGGCGTACGACAAGGAGGCCGTTGCAGAGAGACACAGGCAGACCTGTCTTCGCCTGTGAAGTCTGTCTGTCTGTCTGTCTGTCAGTCCGCGATAGTATTCCTGTTTCTTCGTCTTCGTCTTCCTGCTCGTCGTCTTCGTGGCGATGTCGACGTCCTTTTCTTCTTCCTCGGCTCAGAGACCAAAAAAGTGGCCGCCCCCTGCCAAGCGCACATCAAGTTCGACGCCGTCACAGGCGCAAAGCTGACCCTGCATACTCACAACAGCTACAGGATATACGGTTACAGGATAGAGAGACAAGACATACAGGCTACAGCTCTGTCGTGGTCGATGGCGCGTCGCTGAGGTCGCTCGACTGCCGTTAAGAAACTGGTCTTCTCTTACCGCTGAAGCTTGGTTAGAGATACACAACACACCATGGACAAGGAGAAGGCGAAGATGGATGCGGGACTCGAGAGTCGTAACCACTGTATGTTCCCTCTGGTGCTTGGAGCTGTGGTGATGGCCGGTGCTGATGCTCGATTACAGACCAGAGGAAGCTCCCGGCGTGGAGATACAAGCTGCGACAGAGCATGCTGCCCCTCGTCCGGTGGGAGACGCCGTACCTGGCATGGCTGCAGGAGAGGATACGCACGCCCACGCTCGATTCCTGGTTTGCCATCACGGCTAACCTGGGCACACACACCTTCTACATGGTCATGCTGCCGGTTCTCTTCTGGAGTGGATACACGGGCGTTGGTCGCGCGTGAGTGAGCTGCCTTCTCTTTACTTCTCAAACCACCATGGCAGGGCAGAGAGAGGGGCCAATGCTAACATCTACAGGGTTGTACACTTGCTTGCGGCCGGAGTGTTCTTCAGCGGGTTTATGAAGGACCTGCTGTGTCTGCCACGGCCACTTTCCCCCCCTCTACAGCGCATCACCATGTCCGGATCGGCTGCGCTGGAGTATGGGTTCCCGTCCACCCATTCGACAAACGCAGTGTCTATCGTCGTCTATGCGCTGCACGCTCTACGGTCGCAGACTGAACTTGCACCGCTTACATCTACCTTGCTTCGGGTCGGACTGTGCATATACGTGACCTCTATAGTGGTGGGCCGGCTGTACTGCGGCATGCACGGCTTCCTCGACGTGGTGGTTGGCAGCTTTCTCGGTGCACTGCTCGGTTTCATCCAATGCGTCTACGGGCCCAAGTTCGACGACTACTTGTTCTCCGGCTCGATACAGGAGGTCTTTGTCATCATCCTCGTCATCATCGTGCTGGTCCGCGTGCATCCCGAACCTGCAGACTCGTGTCCCTGTTTTGACGACAGTGTGGCGTTTGCGGGTGTCTTTGCCGGCGTCGAGCTGGGCAATTGGCACTTTGCCAGGACTGGATACTCGCTCTCGGTGCCCACGCCGGGGACGATCCCGTTCGACCTACAGCGGATGGGATGGATAAAGGCCGTGCTTCGGATCGTGATTGGAGTGTTGAGTATCGTCGGGTGGAGGGAGGTGATGAAGCCAGCGCTACTGAGGTTCCTGCCACCGCTGTTCAGGATCATCGAACGGCTGGGGCTCAGCTTGCCAAGACGGTTCTTCAAGCGTGCAACGT